TCATTCTTAAGAGGCAGACGTCAAGACTCCCTCTCTCTAGAACTCTCTCTCTCTCTCTCTCTAAGTGTAAGTAAAGAGTTAGTTTGAAGTTTGTAGATTGTAATAGAAGAACAAATAAATAAAAGTTTTCAGTTCTTCATCTTCAGGGCCTTGCTTCTTGGCCACAAGGTACATACTTCTGTCTTTCTTAGTTTAGATTTTCTTCTAGTCTCTCCTCTCTGGCCGTGACGATGTCCGGCTAAGAGACTTCATATCTATGTTGAGTATCTAACTTCTCTCCTATATACACCATGAAAGCGACGGCATCTATTAAAATATAAATGAGTTTTATATATAGAGTTTTGACTTGGTGTCAAGATGGTTGGTACAGTCTGATATAACACTACTCTTATTGGCTTTGCCTTAGTGGCTCCGTCTAGCCAGCCGTGAACCTCAGCCCGATAAAGGAGTTAAAAGGGCATCTTCTTTCACGGTTAGAACTGCTAGACACATGGGCTCAATAAAAGTATGTATTATATTATGACAGACCCCTTGCTTGAGTAAAGGTTTTTAACCTTCCATACAGTCATTAAACTATATATAAAATTCAAGTATATTTCAATTCTTATCCTTACTGATTGTGCGGATTACCGCCAGTCTTTAAATATAAGGGTACTGAATTAGCTAGATTAAGAATTCTCAAATATGTTAAAATAGAAATCTTTAACTGGTGGAAACCTTCCAGGCATATAAAAGCCAGATGTGAGGTGTGAAACAAGTCCAGTTCCCGGTCAAACGGTGATGTATATATACTATATATATATATATACACATTTAATATATATACTATACTATACTATATATACATCTTATATCGATATACTATATATACATCTTATATACTATATATATTCGATATTAAGTATTGAATATTAAAATTTAGGTCACAATTCTATAATAAAATTTANACACATTTAATATATATACTATACTATACTATATATACATCTTATATCGATATACTATATATACATCTTATATACTATATATATTCGATATTAAGTATTGAATATTAAAATTCAAGTCATAATTCTATAATAACAAAGCATTCTGTTAGATATTTTTTTTAACATCTTTTTGTCTCTAATATCTATTTTTTTTAAAATATTTTGGGCTCACTTAGCCCGCGGGCCGGGTCCGTTTTAGCCCGGACCCGTTTGGCCCATTTTATTTGGGATCGACCCGGGCCCGTTTGGACCGGCCCACTTGACCTGTTTAGGCTCGAGACCGACCCACTTGCCGGCCCTAATTGTAGCTATCTTAGTATATGATTTGATGCCTTGCTAAATAGTACAAGAATAGAGCGAGAGAGGTACGTGGGGACTATGAATCAGACATTTAAAACCCCCTCAAAGGTTTAGAAAATTTACAGAAGTAAATAAGTCATCTAAAGTAATAATGTTATAATTCACGGGTATAAATAAGTGCTAGGTGTGAACGCATGAAATGGGAAATTGAGATGGGCCCTACATTTTCAGCCAACTTTCGAGAGAAATTCAAAAATAGCAGATTTACAAGTGATAATTCAAAAATAGTCACAGTTCTAAAAGTAATTGAAATTTAGCCACTTTTTATGTAAAAATAAATCTGAACGAAAATACTGTTCAAAATCCGAAAAATATTCCAGCATATTATACTGGAGTTCCAGTATAATATATTGGTCCAGCATAGTATGCTGGAAGTTCATACAAAAATGCTCCAATCTCCAGTAGATTATGCTGGAACTTTTCGCGTGTTGGAGTTCCAGCATAATATGCTGGAAGTTCATACACATGTGCATCAATCTCCAGTATATTATGCTGGACCGGTACGTGTTGCAGCAAAATAGTGATATTTTTTAATGACTTTGCAAACGCTGGCTATTTTTGAATTACCAGTCCGAAAACTAGCTAGCCCGTGCTATTTTTACCAACTTATCTAGTGTGTACAAGCGATGTTGCTAGCGCGAACAATACTTCTAAACCAGGTAAATTATGAAATACCATAAATGCCCCTACGTAAGCAAGCATGTTGACGGGGAGGTGCTTGCTAACTCTCACTTATAAAATAGTAGAAAGTAAGCATGTGGGTGTACTTATGAAATGATTTTTCAAATTCCTTGTTTCTCATTTTAAACATTTTTTATACACATATATTTGTCACCAATTAAATAATATTTGTAAGTTCATCTAAAAAAGTTTATTTATTTTTTATAATTAAATTTCACTTAAAATAAAAGAATACCAAATGATATAATTACAATGCTACAATCAAGGAAATTATAGTATAATTGGTTTATGATAAACAAATAAATTATTATAATTACTACACTAATTAATAACTAAAATATATAATTAAACAACTTAATAATTACCCGTGATTCCCAAACGGACCCAAGATGTCACGATCCAAAACCCGCTATAGGCTGTGATGACGTCCAACGTCGCCACTAGGCAAGCCAACAGTGAACTTATACGTTAATTGTTCATTTTATTTCTTTCGAAACCATAAATTTTATTAAGTAAAGAAATTTATACATTTAAAATCATGGGTACATACATAATAGGTAATGCATAAAAATAAAAGGTGATAATAATATGCAAATCCGTAAACATCAATTAGAATATCCCAAAATCCGGTGTCACAAGTGCACGGGCATTTACTAAGGGGTACAATAATAATACAATATTTGTCTGTAATGTACATTAGATAGGATAAAGTAAGTAATACGATGGAGCCTCTGTGGGTTGCGATACGTGGCCTAGAATGCAGCTCACCATAAAGTCTTCTCGGCAGTTGCGACTACGTGCCAAGATGACCACCAAATGAACATGTCAGATCCTGCACATTTAGTGCGGAAGTGTAGCATGAGTACGTAAATCAACGCATACCCACTAAGTATCTAGTCTAACCCCAGAGAAGTAGTAACGAGGGGTCGACATCGACACATACTAGAGGTCCAATAAAGCAGTATGATAAATAATAAGTAAATATGAAGCAAAACAGTAATAATGGGGTAAAACGGTAACTAACATAACCTTCCAACATTTCTTTTGGCAATATAAATCTCTCGAATATCATATGTTATCTCAACAGATCAGAAATATCAAATGTAGTCTCAAACGGGTAAGGAATACCACATAAATTCCAGGTCTCAAAAAAGAGGAATCTCATGAATATTCGGACTCCTAGCAATATTACATATGATTATGTCGAGGTCGTACGATCAATCCAGAGTGGTGTGTACACTGCCGAGGGTCGACCAATGCGAACCAGAGATGCATCTCAATATACTGTTGAGGCGTTCGGCCCGATCCACAAGAAAGGAACTTATCGAATTACGGGTCACGTGCTTACAATACAGGTACAAGCAAATAAAGTGGATATAACCTTTACCGTTTGTCAAATGTTTCACCAAAAACTCAAGGTGATAAGGCTCGACCTAATATATATATTCCTAAATCGATTTCAAATTATAAATTCAATTAATCAAGTTAGCAGATTGGGTTCAAATAACTCAAATATAAATGATTGAGTCCTAAGTCTACCCGGACATAAACATGTTTTAGCTACGTACAGACTCTCATCACCTTGTGCGTCCGAAATAACCACAACTAGTAGCACATAATATTTTTTAATACCTACGAGGTAGTTTCCCCCTCACAAAATTAGACATGAGACTTACCTCACCCCGAAGTTCCAATAATCAGCTCCAAATGCCTCTCTAATACCTTAACCAATGCCCATCGATCCGAAACTAGTCAAACAATGTGCAAATCAATCAAAATATACCCCAAACACTCATATTTAATTAATTTATAACAATCCCCAACTCCGCTCGAAAACTCAACAAAGTCAACCCTCGGGCCCACATGCCTGTATTTCAAAATTTTTCGAAGATAAACATTACCCATAGCACCACGAACTCAAATATATAATTTATCCCTAATTCCATGTCCAATTTTGTGGTAAAAATCCAAAAATATAAATTCTAGATTTTCTTCAAAATCTCATAAATTTCACCAATTTCTATGTTCAAATCCATGTAAGTTTCATGTATTTAACTCACAATATGTAGAAGTCACTTAGCTAGTGATGGATGACGAAAAAGCTCTATCAAAAGAGCCCCAAGCTCGGCTTCCATGGAAGATTTGAGATAAAATAAGCCAAAACCCGTTTTCAATCTTATACAATGCGAGACGACCTTCATCGCAAACGCGGAAATCCCCTCGCGTTCGTGAAACACATCTAACTTTAGCTCCCAAACTCCTCTACGTGAACGCGAGAAAGGGCATGCGAACACGAAGCTTTACCAGCCTGCCCATCGCGAATGCGAAGACCAAGTCAGCCGCCATGCTAGCTTCTTCATCGCAAATGCGAACATCGAATCGTGAATGCGGAGCCTTGCTTCCCAAACCTTCGCGAATCACGAGACCCAGTCCAATCACTCCAACAAGTCCCAAAACATAACACGAACTTGCTCGAGGCTTCAAATCACGCCAAACAACATCAAAACTACGAATCGATGATCGTAACCTTCTTTCAACTTTCAAACATTCAAACTTTGACGAACGCATCTGATTTATACTTAAACATTCCGGAATGACGCCAAACTTTACGCACAAGTCACAAATCACGATACAAACCTATTCCAAGGCTTAGAACCTCAAACAGACATCGATAACACTAAAGTCCACTTCAAACCAAACTAAGAAAATTCTAAAACCTTCAAAATGACAACTTTTTATAATAAGCATCGAAATGATCTTGGACCACCCGATACTCAACCCGGACATACGCTCAAATGTGAAATCATCATACGAACCTATTGGAACCTTAAAATCACGATTTCAAGATCATTTACTCAAAAGTCAAATCTTAGCGAATTCTTCCAACTTAAATCTTCCAAATTGAGAATTTTTCTTTCGAAACAACTCTAAACTTAACCGAAATTCAATTCTGACCGCACGTACAACTCATAAAACATGAAATGAATGTATAACTCATAAACAATTCCTACTCACGACCTTGAACCGTCGAACGATGCGGTGAAGCTCAAAACAATCGGTCTGTCGGGTGGTTAGCACAAATCACAATATATTTGGATCTTTCCCCTTAAATGTTTTTGTGAGAACTCCAGAAAAAGAAAAAAAGAAAGACCCGAGGAGAACTCGGTGAAGTAAGACGGTAAACTGGAGATTTGGTATCCTCAAAATAATAGTATCATATATCCATTTCAGATAGCGATCGGAAAAGAACTGTCAGAATCCCAACTCGGCAAAAGCTCTGCGGTATGCAAGCCTGAATCTATTCAATTGAATGTTTTTTTGGCCTCTTATTTCCGGTCATGTTTTCGGGAAATATATATGAATTCATAATCTTATGAAAATGCGACTAGTATTTATGTTTTTTAATTCAATTCCATCCAATCAATCGAAGGTTCACTCCATTTAACCTCTTCGTTATTTTCTGAAAAATTCACGGTCAGGTTATAATATATGTGATCTGATTTTAAATAAGTTGGTAATTTTCTTAGTTTTTGCGTGAATTACCACGTAGTAATTCGAATTTTTGATTGATGCTTGATTGTTTTTGCTTTTGTAATTGAAAGGGCTTTTTTTTTTTTTTGAATAGTATGGACTTAGATATTTTGCTTTCTTTTAATTAGTTAAGTTAATCTTAATCTCTCTCTTTATGATGTTAATTGGTTTTATTTTTTGTTTATTCTTAGTTTTAACTATTTTGTTCGTGGTTTTTGTGCTTTTTCTTTTAATGGATTTTGAGGTCTTATTATGTGGTACTGGTATCTTATCTGAATTTCAGAATTTAGTACTTTTTCATCCTTCTTGCTTGATAGCTCGGAAAAGTTTGACGTTATGGTCTGAAACTAGACGGTTGATTCCCTGCATTTTTTTCCCACTACGTAATGAAGAGAGATTCCCTTTTTTACTCTGGATAACAAGGACTTTAAAACATTTTGCTCCAGGATTCAGCAAGTTCAACTTTTGGATATTTTAACATTGAAACCATTGCACATTAGAAATAATGTTTAAAACTTAGTGTATATACATATATCGGGTCCAGTTGAACCCGTTGACTATATGCTATATTCATCACTGTTTTGCCGACGGTCTATTGTAAACAGTCTCTCTACCCTTTCGGGTAGGGGTAAGGCTGCGTACATCCTACCCTCCCCGGTCCTCACCTGCGGGATTACACTGGGTTGTTGTTGCATCACTGTTTTGCGCTTCTTTTTTGTTGGTTCAATTCAGATCTGCCTATTTATGAAGTTAATTAGTGTCTAATAGTGTCCTATGATTCAAGAGAGAGATGTATGGGGGGG